TGAATCGGCGATTCACTGTACAGAATCGTCCGGTTCTCTCTAGAACCGGACGATTTCCGATTTTCCGACGATCCGGTTCCTTTTTCACTATTTCCGAGTCGAACCGGGCAAGTCCGGTTCGACTCGGCGTTTTTTAAAACGCTGGTATAAGGGAATCCTACTGTCTATAGAAAGTAGGTAATCATGAAGGTCATTGCCATCTAATTAATGATTTGATGGTCACAGGGTTTTTTTTTTGGGTAGTTAGAATCACACTTGAGATATAACGCTGCCAAATGTAAGCTACTACTAACCACGCAAGCCCAAGCCAAATGTCTGTCATATGGGCATTCGGACCATGTGACTCCCATGTGATTCAGCTCTATCTTTATCACTATTTAACCATACAACCAACTATTATTAAAATTTCATCTTTGGATTAGAAACAAGCAAGAGGTAGAATACCACAAAGCAGAGCCTACCTAAAAAAAAAAATAGCTTTTGTTATTGGCACATATTTATTTAAACCACCCATAAAAACCATATTCTGATTTTTATCGGGAGAATACCGAAGAATAGTTTCCAAATAAATCCCGATCCTATAAACAATAATGCTTTCGAATAGGCAGGAGTGATTGAATGGAATAAAGTGGCTCGATAAATTGTACGGAGGTCGATGATTTTCACAATTATGAATATTTCATATGTGTAAGGATCATAATATAGCCTCTCTCTGTGGTTTAGATAGTTGGCCCTGGTCTTTGGGAATGTTTGACTATTTGAAGCCTTCCCCATTTTAAGGACCTTAATAATAAAAAAGTTCAATGACTAATTATGGGGAATAAAGGAAACCCCAGAGCGAAACCGAGAATAAGGGAAAGGATCATGGCAAATAATGGATATTAATGTCACATACAGCCACACAAACGCCAATGGCACAGAGTAAAAATAGGCAAATTCTGTAAAAAGTGGCTCCTCTTTTTTTTCGAAAATAAAGTAAAAGAAAAGTGAAAAAATTGGGATACTCCTTTCTCTCATCTTTCCACTTAACTGTTTTCTGTGCCAATGCATAAATAAATTCAAATATTTCAGAGTTCTGTCCCTCTGGTTTCTGTTGTTTGTGTGACATCCTTTTTATTTATAATGAGTAAGTAGGGGGGAGAAACAAGAATTAAATACTAATCTAATTTGTTGCCTTTAGCAAGGAATTGAGGATCATTGTGGATTAATTGTAGATGAGGTTTCAAGATTTGCAAGCCATTTCCAGTGGGTCTGCAACTTGAGCCAGGTAAGACATGGATCAGTTTTCATTTGTGACCATTATTTTGGTGTAATAAACCAGTTGTTCCTAATATAATTTAGAATTGTTGTTTTTATTTGGAACTACAGCTGTAATAGAATAGATCATGGCCATTGAAGCTCCTGTGCTCTTTGCTCCATCACCAACCAAATTTCCACATATGTAAAAGTTTGAATTTTATTATTTGGATCCTGTAGAATATTTTGACAAATTTGAATAGTTTTCATTCATGTGGATCATTCTCAAACATGGATTTTTTTGCTTGGCAATCCTCAGGGGGATTAGGAAGGTGTCGAGCTGTACCAGTTTGGAAGCACCTGGAGAATACCAGGTTCTTATCTCGAAAAACAATGGAAATGGAAAGATCTTCCCACTTGTAGAAGACCCAAATGAAGATAGAGTCCCTGATATTACTCATGGTGTGTCCTACACTCCTACTCCTACATGTGGATCTTCATTTTTTTGCTCCTTCTTCAATTATTATTATGGTGGTCAGTTTCTTAAAATTCATCTTAGGAATCCAAGATATTTATTGTAATTTTTAACTCCATGAAATTTTTAATTCTTTCATTTGTGCCTTACCACATTGATCCAGAGCAACAAAGACAAGTTGCACAGAGTTCCACAACCTGGAATGCTGATATTCCATTTATATTTGACAATGGCGATAGTGTTCTAAACAATGATGATGTTTGTAACCACCAAAGTAGACAGAACTCACTACAAGCCGTTGAAAATTGCGGGCATTGCTTACAATCAGACATAAGCTCCTCACAAGCCTCTGCCTCTTATTCTGATTCTCAAACCAATCCCAGCCCCATTTCGCAGTGGCGAGCATTCTTTCGACTTTGGAAACAGAGATCCATTAGACGATTCTCCACTTTCCCTCATATAGGTGTCCCAAAATTCCCAACAAGGAAACACCGGAGTAGAGACATTTGCTTAAGAAGCCCAAAATCATCTTGTGATGCCAAGTTGTGTTGTTCAAAGCCGTCGTGGAAGAATTTCACCCTTTTGGAGCTACAAAATGCAACAAATAACTTCAATGCAGGTCATTTTGCTTGCCCTTCTTCATCTGTTGTGGTCTTTGGTGGATTAAATTGAGAAGAATGCTTGTATAGCGATAAGAATGATGAAATCTTTTGTGGGTTTTCTTCAGAGAACCTCATAGGGAAGGGAGGTCATGCTGAAGTTTATAAAGGATGTTTGGATGATGGGCAACTTGTGGCAGTTAAGAGACTCACTTGGGGAACAATGGAGGAGAGAACTGGGGATTTCTTATCAGAGATTGGGATTATTGTGCATATTAATCACCCAAATGCTGCTCACCTTATTGGTTTTGGAGTAGAAGGAGGACTCCATCTTGTCTTGCAATTATCTCCCTGTGGAAGTTTGGAGTCCATGCTTCACGGTAGTTATGCACTATGTTGATAATGAGCTCCAAATATTTACTAATTGCTTTGCTAAATAGAAATGATTCACCAATTCAATATATTTCTAGGTTCCAAGGAAAAACCAAACTGGAGTATTAGGTATAAGGTTGCTTTGGGTGTGGCAAAGGGTCTTCAGTACCTTCATGATAGCTGCCCGAGACGCATTATTCACAGAGATATCAAGGCATCAAATATCTTACTTACGGAGGATTTTGAGGCCCAGGTAATTTGTAACCTTAATAAAGTTTCTCAAACTTGAACCATCATTCATAAATAGAGTACAATAGCCAATAGTCGTTGAAATAGTTCTAATCTTCTACTGAAATAGGACTTTCCCCTTTTGTGTGTTGGTTTTGGTTGTGAGGCATCATTTGGTTTATTACCAGATTGCAGATTTCGGACTGGCGAAGTGGTTGCCAAATCAATTGACACACCTCACAGTTTCCCAATTTGAAGGCACATTTGGGTTTGTATGTCTAAAATGCTCTCATCATTTTCATCTTCCGTGTAATTAAAGTCCAACAAATGTTTTATGTATGATGCAGTTACATGGCACCTGAATATTTCATGCATGGAGTGGTGGATGAAAAAACTGATGTTTTTTCGTTTGGGGTGTTGCTATTAGAGCTTATCACTGGTCGTCGTGCGATTGATTCCTCTCAAAAAAGCCTTGTGATGTGGGTATGCTTGTTTGATAGCTTGCTTAATAGATGGATTGATTAATGTTTCATTTCTTAAGTCTTTGTAGGTTTCGTTCTATCATCGAACCAATTAATAAATTTTACTTATGTAGGCAACGCCTTTGATCGAAACAAGAAATATCATGGCGCTTGTAGATCCCTGTCTAGGGAATGATTACAATATGCAGCAGATGAAACTTGTGGTTTCAACGGCCTCCATGTGCATACAATACTCAATTTTGCGGCCTTGCATGAGCCAGGCATAAAATGATGCTTTTGTTTGTGTACTGAAAATTATCCAAGAAAAGTCTTCCTTTTTAATAGCAATTAGTTATGACTCTGTTTATTCCTCTGTGCAGGTGGTGCATCTTCTTGTTGGAGAGGAAGGTAGCTCAAAGTCCGACAAGCAAGTACAAAATCCAATTTTTAGTAGAACGTTCTCTGCAGGCCAATTTGAGGGAGAAGGTTATAGTTTGAGAAGTTACACCAACAATCTTAGGCAACACAAAGAACTTGTTTCACGTTCCTCAAATTGCCTGAACTTTTCGCAGAAATCATTCAGTCTCGAGGATTCTGAAATTGCCTAAGGATTTAACCAACAGATTCTTAAACATGGGGTTTTGTATTGTAAAATTGACTTTGTAATTGTTTCCTAGTACACCTGGTGCAAGTTCATAAGAGAATATATTGAGGAATAATACAAATTCATTGTATGCATAAATATAATGCTTGCTTATCTGAGCTCCAATACATCTCTCTTCCATAACTAGATCTTTGGGATCCTATAATATGATTTTTAAGGTCATATTAACTCAATAGCTTTGAGTTATCACTGTCCCATCAATGGGTTGGATGGTGATGGAGGGAGAGGTACCAACTAAGATTTCTACATATATCCTTCCCTCCTCCATCACAGTCCATCCCATTAAGTGGATGGTGCTAATCAATAGGGTCATGTTACCATGACCATATGGACCATATTATAATTTCCCTTTTTCCTTGAATATTCTCGTTTCCCTTGATCATTTCCAATGAACCAATCCCATTTATTACTGAAAAGTGAAAACTATATTTTGTGCTTAAAAATTGATAATTTAAAATGTGCTTATTTCACTATGCATAAAATATCGCACTTATGTTTATGCTTGCATGCTCACACGCATAAACAAATCAAAAGCATGTCCTTGTCTTTATTTTCTCATGTATTCATGAGACACACATGCACAAATGTATATCTTATTAGATATATATTAGACTTGATATATGTGATTTCATGCTACCTGTTAAAAAACAAATTAAAAAAAATAAGAAAGGAAGAAAGAAGAAGAAGAAGATGAAGAAGAAAAGAAGAGAAAAGAGAGATTTTTGTGAAATATATTTGCCTTTGGAGCATATTTTTACATTGAAGTCGTCACTGTTGAGATGTTTAGGAAGTTCTTAAGGATGTTTTGAAAATTGGATGGGGTTTATATAAGTCCTAGGCCATATGAGAAGAAGAAAATTTGCACCTCAAATGCCCATTGTAAAATGCAATCCCATTGTCGTTGTCTAACATCTATTTTTGCTCTTGATTATTTACAAATGGGTGCAGTTTTTATACAGATGCATCCGTAGTTGTAGAGGTAAGGTGCACCTTCAAATTTTATCTTGTCATATAATTTTGATGTAAATTGTTCTTAGGATTACCTCAAAATCTATTTTTATATCCAATTAAAAATTTTAAATTTAAAAAATGGTTAAAATCAAGTAGATCTATAAACATATGAAAATCTTGAAAATGGACGGTGTAGATAATATGTCGTAAAATGCACTATTTTTGAGACTTAAAATCTTTTTATTTTTCATGGTCATACATCTAGATGTCGAGATGCTTAATCAAAGGGTTTTTCAACATTAAAACTACCTTTTTCGATGGATTTTTGAGGTGCATCCATAGTTCTACATTATAAAGTTGCATCCTTATATAAACTTTTCCCTTTACAAATAGTGCAGATTTAGTGGATCAAGGATACACGAGGGAACACTCCCTTACCCACATGTTCACGTTCTTTTGGAGTTGATTCTCACAACGCGGCTATCACGTGCAAACTTTGTGTCGAGGTTGAGGATTTCGTCTTTGGAGTTGATTCTCACAACGCGGCTATCACTTGTAAACTTTGTGTAGAGGTTGAGGATTTCGCCCAACCGCAAGCAGAAGTCCCGGTAGCCTCCTGGCCCACAAACATCATACCTGGGCAGTTTTCCAACCTCAATGAGGGATGACCCTATAATGCAACCCTCAATGGAAGTAATTATACCCAAGATAAGAGTTTTGGACATGACATGGGCCTAGACCGCTCAACCCAAGGTCAATCAATAATTCATACACTTCTATTGAAGTGCATATCAACTCTAACTTTTTATTTTAACATGCTCTCAAGTATTTTGAAGTGCACAAACCCTAACATCTACCGCTTGGCTTTTGAAAGCCGTATAAGAAGTCTCTCTCCCACACTCCGATCCTATGATATGTACATGCATGGTAAATAACTTCACCACTTAGCCTTTCATTAATATATCTGCTAACATAGCCTCTGTCTAGAGACAGGTGACCTTAATGTCTCGATCTCGTGTATATGGTAATATTTCACCTTTATAGGCCATATTTCTAATGAAATTGTGGCTCCTTAGTTACATAAATCCTAGCCTCCTTGTCAAAGAAGATCATCACACATTTGCAATTTATTGCATCAAATATGAGTTGCTTTTAGTAATGCAAATAAAGATCAGGAAAAATTCAAAATTTTTAGTATTATTATTATTTTAAATTTTTCTTAGGGATAGAAAGTGAGCTGGGATATGAGAGGGAATATTTGGTGCATGAGTTTTTTTTTTTTCAATTAGTTAAAAGGTTGGGGTTTTAGGATAAGCTAGTCTCAGTTGGTTTTAAAGAGATAAGTTAGGTATGGTTGGGTTTTCAAGATAAACACGCTTGATAACTTGGGCTTATCTAAAGTCTTACTTTTATGGACTCAAAATTTAGGAAGAGATTTTATGGACGATCACCTGAAGTAACTTGGGCTTATCTAAAGTCTTACTTTTATGGACTTCAAATTTAGGAAGAGATTTTATGGATGATCACCTGAAGATTAATTTGAGAGAGAAAATAGGGAGAGGAAGAGAGAGAATAGGGAGCTTGGAAAAAATGTAGAACTTAGAGAGAGAGTTTTATAGAGTTTTTTATTTCTTATTTTGTTTTAAGGGAAGGAAGTACTTCATTGTAAAGAAGAGAGATTGGAATTGAATAAAGTTGAATTGTAAAAAGATGTTTTTGGCGTGGACTCCTTTCCAGGCCTAGAGAAAGGGTATATTTTTAAAAAAAATTATATTATTTTTTATTTTTTGGTTTATTGTTATTTCTCCCTGCATTAGTTGGGACCTAGAAGGAAGGTATATTTACTTAAACTTTTATTTTATTTTATTTTTTTGGTTTATTATTATTTTTTCATGCATCCGTTGGTATCAGAACCTTGGGATCAAAGATCCATTCACTATATAGATCGTTTGGATCGATTTGAGCTATTGAATCAACAATTCGATAGACACATGGAAGACCTTCGCAGATCAATATAATAATATCTACAAAATTAACAATTCGATAGACACATGGAAGACCTTCGCAGATCAATATAATAATATCTACAAAATTAACAATTCAATAGACACATGGAAGACATTCGCAGATATATATAATAATATCTACAAAATTAACAATTCAATAGACACACGGAAGACCTTCGCAGATCAATACAATAATATCGACTTAGTATATTGCAACAAGAGGAAGAAGAACATGAAGGGGTTGGTCTCGATGCAAAATACGATGTTGATAGCCTAAACATGCAAGAAATTTCGAAAATCAATAGTGAAGAAAATGATACGTGTGTTGCAGCATATGAAATACCATCATATGAGCCTAAAAGAGAAATCAAGATTCAGTTTGGTATTCGAGTGTTTGATGTCTCAAACTTCCACTACAAATCGTGTTTGTTAGAAAAAATATCGGGGCGCATCGTGGGATTGTATCACCTTCTTTTGAGAAGACCTCTAAAAGATTCGAGTTCTTTAAGCTCGAGGTCGAGCTTCTCAACCTGGAGAGAATGATGCAGAAAAATATTAGGAAAATTCAATATTTTGATAATACCTCTAAAAGGTTTGAGTTCTATAAGCTCGAGGTTGAGCTTCGGAGACAATGATGCAGATAAATATTAGGAATAATTCAAAAATTTTAGTGTTATTGTCTTTTTATTTTTTTAGGGCAGGAAGTGCGCATGGATATGGAACGGAAGATTTGGTCCGTGATTTTTTTTTATTGGTTCAAGGGTTGGATTTTACAACAAGCTAGGCTTAATTGGTTTTAAAGAGATAAGTTGGGCATGGTTGGGTTTTGAAGATATACATTTTGGATAACTTGGGCTTATGTAAAGAACTCCTACTTTTGTGGATTTAAATTATTTTTATTTTATTTTTTATGCGTGTCGTATTTACGGAGCTGAAGCTCTAAACAATCAAATTAGAGCCCACTTTCAAATAGTGTCGAGAAATATGGTTTCAATATTGGAAAGTTTTGTGATAGCCTCAAATTATATTTTCATCTTTAATTATAAAATTTAACGCTTTTAAAATAGTTTTGATCGAGTAGATCTATGAAAACATGAAAATCTTGAAATTGATCGTTCAAAAATGCGTTACAAGATGCACTATTTCCAAAAAATTCGTTTTTTCTCATGTCCATGCATCTTGATATCGAGATTATCAATTTGATGATATTTGGGCATCAAAACAACCTCTTCTGGCGAAAGTTTGAGGTAAGCTCTAATTTGATTATTTAGAGCTCTATATAAACTTTTCCCTTTTGTTTATTTCTTATTTTGTAATTAAGGAAAGGAAATCCCTCACTGTAAAGAAGAGAGATCTGAATTGAGAAAAATTGATCTTATGTAAAGATCTTTTTGAGGTGGATTCTACTTTGAGAGATGGTATATTCTCACACATCTTTATTTTTATTTTTATTATTTCTCCGTGCATCATTTAAGAACTTCTTCAACCAGATGCCCTATTTCGCTACGAGAACAATGGTCAGCCCTGCCCTTGTGTTTGTGCCTCTCATGAGTGCATGTGTGTGCACGTGGGTGACCTTATGTGCCTGAGTGTGCGGATAAGGTGTACAATGCGGTGCGATGGCAAAACCTACGAATTTGAAGTGAGGTATTACCTACCTTGGATATTGGGGTTGGATATGTCCAGGCATCTCGGTCTTTCAGATCTCGGCGTGGCATGGCGTGGCGTGGCATAGGGTAAAGAGCCCTCCAGTCACTCTCGGACTTGGTTTGGTTCGATTCCCTTACAAGTGAGCTCAAGCTTGGTTAGAGACGTGGATCGTATGTGGGTCCTAAATGGACTAGCACGCCTAGAGTTGGATGGTGGGTTGGCTAGGTTCAAGGATAGGCTAGACTAGTGGCTAAACAGAAGGTCAACCAGAATCTGACATAATTCCAGTTGCACCTCCCTTAGGGATAGGTAGACAACAAACAAAGGGTACTTGGTGAGTAGCCAAAGTACCTTGGAAGAATTCCGCATGGGGTCGAAGCAGGTCAAGCCCACTTACGCACCGATTTGGAAGAGCCTCGTTAAGAACGCTAACTTAGACTAAAGGGGGTTAAGTGTGGAGTAGGATAAGGTGTAGTATG